CGCGCACACACACACACCCTGCTGCGTGTAGCATCCTGCAGCCTGGCGTGTCGAGGCGCCGCTGCTCGCCACTCCTCAGCACAGCAAGATCCTGCAGGACTGAGAAATGTTAGGAATTTCGGTGAGAGAGACAGGCGTGTGAAAGATCTGCAGATATGAATCCGCAGGTCAAAGGTCAGGCTGACTGAAGTGTGGGGTGGAGTCTCTGGCACAGACTCAAACAGCTGAGACACAAACTAAACACCTGGACCCAGGTAAACAGCCCCTGTTGACTGAACATGAGTGCACATTCAGGCGTGTCCAGACGGCGCCATTAAACGCAGCTCCGTGTCACCTTAAAGGTCCCACAGGGGGCGTGGCCTCACAGGCGAACCCAGTGAATAACATGGCGAATAACGAAGTAAACCATTCAGCTACACGCAAAGATTTACTGATTTCAATCTGTCTGTTTTGCCCCACCCCCAGGGGAGTAAGGAGCGTTACCATTGGCAGGCTCAGAATGTGAAGGTGAGCGGCGTTGATGACATGGTGCTGCTGTCCAAGATCAACGAGGACGCCATCACAGACAACCTGAAGAAGAGATATATGGACGACTACATCTTTGTATCCTCAGCGTACACCCTCGATTTGATTGGTTAATTGGTCGATGACCTCACCTTCAGTTAACTCACAGCTGTTTAGTTATTGTCACAGTGTTTAACCCGTCGTGCTCTGTGGGAGCGTCTCACCTGTGAGACACACCTGTCAGGTGAGGAGGCACCTGGAGCATGCTCGTTTTGTCTTCCTCTTCTTATTCACAGGGTTGTGCGGCGTGAGTCCCACCGCCCCCTGTTCTCTGAGGATGCGCAAAGCAGATGCCTGAGCTCTGCTGCCCTCTTGTGGCAGTTCAGAAACTCGCTCGCCACGTTCCTGATTCACCGGGTTCGTCGCCCAGAGGCCGTCCGAGTTTAGGCTCACGGATGAGGCGGGAGGAGATGAAGAAACATCCTGAGCTGCGCACACAGATGCTCCTGAAGGGGAGGGCGGCCAAATTTTAATCAGGTTTTTTTTAATATTTCAATAACAAAGACTACAAGAGAGAAGACCGCAATGACCACATGACTCCATCTGAGCAGCCCGAGGCAACTGTGGGGAGAAAAAACTCCCTTTAAACAGGAAGAGACCTCCAACTAAAGGATCAGGTATCCGTTGGAAATTAAGAGAAGAAAGTCATGGCACACAGACAGCGGTTGGCTGATCTGTGAGCTGGATCAGCCAATCACCAGTGAGTTTCTGTGGTAGCCCCTCCCACAGGTAGTGACATCATCAGTTCCAGCTTTGGGACCAGATGCTTAGTTCTGCTGGTGCTGAAAATCCGGCACTGGGATGGTCTGTCTCTGATGGACATGTGTCCTGCTGGGTCCAGGTCCTGGTTCTGGTGGTGTTCCTTGACCCTTTTCTTTCAGACTTACATCGGTCCAGTGCTGATCTCTGTGAATCCGTTCAAACAGCTGCCGTATTTCACCGAGAGGGAAGTGGAGCTTTACCAGGGCGCGGTAAGACTGAGCGGCCAATCGACAGACAAATACAAACGAAAAACAGACAAATAGCTGATTGAATGCCCCGCCCCCGACAGGCTCAGTACGAGAACCCCCCCCACATCTACGCACTGGCTGACAACATGTACAGAAACATGATGATAGACAGCGAGAACCAGTGTGTCATCATCAGGTAGGCGGGGCTTAAAGCTCTCTTCAAACAGACTCTTTTCACAAATGTGTAACGTGATGTCTGTCTTTGCGTGTCAGCGGCGAGAGCGGCGCCGGAAAAACTGTTGCTGCCAAATACATCATGAGCTACGTGTCCAAAGTGTCCGGAGGAGGCGACAAAGTTCAGGTCAGAATCGGAGGCCATTGATTGGTTGACATAAAGGTAACACTGCCTCACTGCTCCACCTTGTGGTATAAATCGTTTTTGCACTTTGTAGTTTATCTCGACACTCATCGCTGCTGCTGTGCTGGTTTGAAACATTGTTTATGTGACGCTCAATTCAGTTTTATTTATACAGCACTAAATCACAACAACAGCTGCATCAAGATGCTTTATACTGTAAGGTAGACGCTACAATAATAGATACAGAGAACCAACAATCATATGACCTCCTATGAGCAGCACTTTGGCGACAGTAGAAGGAAAAACTCCCTTTTAACAGGAAGAAACCTCCGGCAGAACCAGGCTCAGGGAGGGGCGGGGCCATCTGCTGTGATTGGTTGGGGTGAGAGAAGGAAGACAGGATAAAGACATGCTGTGGAAGAGAGACAGAGGTCATTTTATAATAACAATTCTAATAATTAGTAAACGTTTATTCAAAGTGTTAATTTTAATTTAATAAATCGGACATATGTTAAGATTTCATTTTTAATTTATTTCTTCACCTTTTGCCACGTCGGGTCTTCCTTAGTTATATCAGAAAACGGCTGATTGTTTGTGTCAGCTGATAGTCACCATGGTTACAGATGATGTTAGCGATGCCACCCTGTGTTATCACCTGCAGCACGTCAAAGACATCATCCTGCAGTCCAACCCTCTGCTCGAGGCCTTCGGAAACGCTAAAACCGTCCGCAACAACAACTCTAGCAGATTTGTGAGTATGATAGCACACAGATGCTTTGGCTGCCGCCGCGCAGATTCATAGACGCCCACAGACACGCCGCTCTTATCCCGACAGGGCAAATACTTCGAGATCCAGTTCAGCCGAGGAGGAGCTCCTGATGGAGGCAAAATCTCCAACTTCCTGCTGGAGAAAAGTCGAGTTGTCTCCCAGAATCAAGGAGAGAGAAACTTCCATATCTACTACCAGGTACTGCAATATGTGCTGCAACGTGTACTATAACTGTTAACGGAAGCTAATGCTGGCCTCTGACTTCAGCTGCTGGGAGGGGCTACCACAGAGCAGAGGGAGAACCTCGGGGTCACGACCCCTGACTACTACAATTACCTCAACCAAACGGGAACCTACACGGTGGAGGACGTTAACGACAAGAAGGAGTTCTCGGATACGATGGTCTGTATGCGTGTGTGTGTGTGCGCGTGTGCGTGCGTATGTGTGTTAAATTGTGTGTACCTGTGTGTCTCTCAGGAGGCCATGTCAGTGGTCGGTCTGTCTCTGGAAGATCAGGATTCAGTTCTTCAGCTCGTCGCAGGAATTCTTCATCTGGGAAACATCAGCTTCAGAGAGGAGAACAACTACGCGGTGGTGGAGAGCCAGAACTGTGAGAAAGCCCCTGACACTACAGCATGACACTATTGTTTGTTTTGTTTGTTTTTTATTACCACTTAAACCAATAAAATCTTGTCTCCTCGTCAGTCCTGGCCTTTCCGGCCTACCTGCTGGGGATCTCTCAGGACGGTCTCTGCAGTAAGCTGACCAGCAGGATTATGGACAGTAAGTGGGGTGGGAAGACCGAGTCCATCTCGGTGACCCTGAACACCGAGCAGGCCTGTTTCTCCCGAGACGCCCTGTCCAAAGCGCTGTACGCCCGACTCTTCGACTTCCTCGTCGATGTCAGTGCCTGCACACAGCCTTCACACTTTGTTCTGCGTTCTTTAACTGCTGCTCATTCACCTTCCTGTTTCTGTGTCAGTGTATTAATAAAGCCATGCAGAAGGAGCAGGAGGAGCTCAACATCGGAGTCCTCGACATCTACGGCTTCGAGATCTTCCAGGTACAAACACACTTCCTGTCTTAAGCCACACCTTACAAAACAATAATAAACACTCCCTGCTTTGACAAACTGGTCCCGTTAGATTGTTCCTGCTGATTTGATGATCGTCGACTCTGATTCTTGATTAACTTTTACTTTTTTGTTTTTTAGCAAAATGGTTTTGAGCAGTTTTGCATCAACTTTGTGAACGAGAAGCTGCAGCAGATTTTTATTGAGCTCACGCTGAAGGCTGAACAGGTGACGTTGTTCTTTTTTTAATAAACTGTGTTGAACGCTTGGTGCACAGATGACATACAATTATTCTGGGATTAGATTAATTTTGTGGTTGTTACTAAGTTTGACTGATTCAGCCTGACTTTGAAACTACATAAAATATCAGTGGAAAGGAGTTAATATCACATGACATTACAGGTGTTTATTGGACAAATCTTGATCCAACTATTTTCTGAGATGATGAACTTTGTCTTGTTGGTGTTACTTTTGTGCGAGGAATCCAAATAATAATTCTCCAGCTTCCTCCCGAGTGACCAGCACTGACTAAAATAAATCCATCCATCTTCTTCCACTTGTCCGGGGCCGGGTCAAGGGGCGGGAACTTAAGCAGACAAGCCCAGAAATCACTCTCCCCAGCCACCTCCTCCAGCTTGTCGAAGGGAACATCAAAGCGTTCCTAGGCCAACCGAGAGATATAACCCCTCCAGTGTTTCCTGAGTCCTCCTCCTGGTGGGACATGCCTGGAAAACCTCACCCAGGTGGCCCCCAGGATGCATCCTTGTCACCACCTCAGCTGGCTCCTTTCGATGTGAAGGAGCAGCTGCTCTACTCTGAGCCCCTCCCAGATGGCCAAACTCCTCACCCTATCTCTAAGGGAGAGACCAGCCACCCCTTGGAGGAAGCTCATTTCCACAGCTTGTATCCGCGATCTCGTTCTTTCGGTCACTACCCACAGCTCGTGACCATAGGTGAGGGTAGGGACGTAGATCGACCGGTAAATTGAGAGCTTCATTTTAAAATCAGCTCCCTCTTCACCACGACGGACCGGTGCAGCGCCCGCATCACTGCAGCCGCCGCACCAATCCGTCTGTCGATCTCCCGCTAACTTCTGCCGATGAGATTCTGAGAGCACCGATGTGAAAGCCTTCCACCACTTGGCTACGAACAGAATTGGTGACAAAGGGCAGCTCTCTTTGCTCCTGCAAAGGTTGTGTAAGGGTCAAATGGCCCGTAGAAGTGAGCCAGACACCACATACTCCTGTGGGCTGGGGTGGGTATCCTAGTATCCTCTCGGCTTGGTGCCTGTATGTTGGGGTTTCTCCCAGTGAACGAAGGGGTTTGTTCCCTGCACCTTCCTGGTGGGGAACGGGTCCTGACTGTCGTCTGTGCTGAATGACGGTTCAGAGTACCTGGTCTTCTTGGAGTCCCTGGGTGGGGTGTTTGACGCTGCTCCACCTGGGGACTCTATATTACAGCGAGACCTGGAGGCGTGTGACTGGGAGGAACGGTGTCCCAGATCTGAACCAGAGCGGTGTTTTGTTATTGGACTTCTGTGCAAACCACAGTGTGTCCATAAGTGCACATGGCACCAGGACATCCTAGGCTGCAGGTTGATGATCGATTTTGTAATCGTATCACCAGACCTGGACCATATGTTGTGGACACTCGTGTAAAGACAGACACCAGAGGTGAGGGGAACCACCAGGCTGAAGAGGGAGTCGTATTGGGCGTGGTTAGCCTGTCGGACTTCGGAAGCAGCTGATAGGTACTAACAGGCCAAGCCAAATGTGGCTCGGGCAGTGGCTGAAACAAGAACTCTGGTGTGGGAGGAGTTCAGAGAGGTCATGGAAAAAGCCTTTCAGACTGCTTCAAAGAGATTCTGGCAAACCATCAGGCAACACTGCTTCACTGAGTGAATGCAGAGTCATTTCCCTACAGGGGATTAATAAAGTATACAAAAACCTCAGGAGGGGAAAGCAGTGCTCCGCCTGCTCTGTGTGCGGGTGGAGCGCTGCTGACTTTGACTGATAACATTGTCGGACAAACGTCAGGGACCTCCTTTAAATAAACAGACTAAATGTGAAGCCGGATGTTGCCGTTATGTCTGCAGGAGGAATACGTACAGGAGGGAATCAAATGGACTCCCATCGAATATTTTAACAACAAGGTGGTCTGTGACCTCATCGAGTCCAAACTGGTGAGTTCGCAAATCACTGAACACAGCTCTGATAAATTTAACGAGTACTCCTCTCCATCTCTGTGTTTTTTATTCTCATACAAACATTACTGACATTAATCATTTGTTACATCATTAAGAACTGCAGCAGGATTTACGCTCCATCTTGAGGGTCAGTTGCCCCCCGAGTTGATTCCGTCTGACAGAGAATTTAGCTCCTCCCACTTTAACCCCACCTGCCCTTTAAGTTAATGTTTTTTTGTCATTAGCCATCTTCTGGAATCTGGAGAGGGGTGGCCTGCTCATTTTATAATACTCCTGCAATTTTTACTCATGTAAAGGATTCCTATCAAAGTGTGCGGTCTGTTAGACTCAGGGACCCTTCAGACTTCTTCATGAATGTGAGCCAAAACTGCTTTTAAATACTCTACAACAAGTAGGCCTGCAGAGCGAGAGCGAAGTGCTCTAATAGGGTGATATGGTACTACAAGGTCATTAAGATAAGATGGGGCCTGATTATTTAAGACCTTGTATGTGAGGAGCAGGATTTTGAATTCTGGATTTAACAGGAAGCCAAAACAGGAGAAATCTGCTCTCTCTTTCTAGTCCCTGTCAGGACTCTTGCTGCAGCATTTTGGATCAGCTGAAGGCTTTTCAGGGAGTTTTTTGGACTTCCTGATAATAATGAATTACAGTCGTCCAGCCTGGAAGTAATAAATGCATGAACTAGTTTTTCAGCGTCACTCTGAGACAGGATATTTCTAACTTTAGAGATGTTGCACAAATGGAAGAAAGCAGTCTTACATAGTTGTTTAATATGTGCGTTGAAGGACATGTCCTGGTCAAAAATGACTCCAAGGTTCCTCACAGCGTTACTGGAGGCCAAGGTAATGCCATCCAGAGTAAGAATCTGGTTAGATACCATATTTCTAAGCTTTTCAGGGCCGAGTACAATAACCTCAGTTTGATCTGAATTAAGAAGCAGAAAGTTAGCGGCCATCCAGGTCTTTATGTCTTTAAGACATTCCTGCAGTTTAACTCATTGGTGTGTGTTATCTGGCTTCATGGACAGATAGAGCTGGGTGTCATCTGCATAGCAGTGTAAATGTATGCTATGTCTTCTAATGATGCTGCCTAAGGGAAGCATGTATGATGTAAACAGAACTGGTCCTCAAATATTACTCTCACTTTTGTATTTATGGTGAAAGTCGAGTGTTTTTAATTGAGTATTCGTGGGCGTTGAGTTTTAATTAACAGATAAAGACATCTGCTCTTTACAAGCTTAAAAACAGTGTGTGGCTCGTTTGGCTTGTTTGGTCTCTTGATGCAGCTATGATATTACCTGAGTACAGGTGAGATTTCTGCTGCTTGTAGGAGCTGAACTCTCAGTTTTGAACAAACTATAAGTCAGACTATATAAAACCAAATTCAAACAGCTGTATTTTCAGTGAACATCTCTGTTTTGCAGAATCCTCCTGGGATCATGAGCATCCTGGACGACGTGTGCGCCACGATGCACGCTAAAGGTGAGGGGGCGGATCAGACCCTGCTGCAGAAATTACAGGGACAGATTGGATCTCACGAACACTTCAGCAGCTGGAACAAAGGATTCGTAGTCCACCACTATGCTGGAAAGGTCCTCACCTCACCTGTATACCTGTCAGAGTTTTTAATGACCACATCTGTCTGTGTTTACTGACCGCACCTGTGTCTGTGGGCAGGTGTCGTATGATGTCAGCGGGTTCTGTGAGAGGAACAGAGATGTGTTGTTCAATGACATCATCGAGCTGATGCAGAGCAGCGAGTTGTAAGTACTCTGTGCGTGGATGTGGGATGTTTTAGGAGCCCCTGATGCAAAACTGCAGTGAATAAACGCGTCATCTTTGTCAGGAATCCTGTTGTCAGCAGAGATGGGCAATGTTACTGTAATCTGATTACTTTTTTCAAGTAATGAGTGAAGGGTTTAACATTGCAAAAAAGTAATTAGATTACTGTTACTTTCTCGTTAGCACGCTGTGTCACTGGGTTACTAAACCGTGATTTTGTTTGTAAGAGAGTCTCATGACAGTGACGTAAGCGCGTGTGGCGTCCATGGCAACAGACACGTGCAGATCAACAATGGATAACATGGAGAGAGTACAACCATGCAGCGTTCAAAGCGTGGAAGTAATCACATTACTAAGCTGTGTGTGTGTGTGTGTGTGTGTCTCTGACACAATCCCTTCTCTGTGGTGTGTTTGTGGGCAGTCCGTTCATCAGAGCTCTGTTCCCTGAGAACCTGGAGGCAGAGAAGCGAGGGCGACCGACCACCGCTAGCAGTAAGATCAAGGTGAGAAAGCTGGAGGTTGGACCTCCACTAAGAATTAAAATGACAGTGAAATAAGCAGCTTTGCCAGGTGTGGTTCTCAGGTGTGTGTTCGCTGCCCTCTAGAAACAAGCTAATAGTCTGGTGCAGACCCTGATGAAGTGCACCCCCCACTACATCCGCTGCATCAAGCCCAATGAAACCAAACGCTCCCGGGACTGGGAGGAGAACCGGGTCAGACACCAGGTGGAGTACCTGGGCCTGCGAGAGAACATCAGAGTCCGTCGAGCTGGATATGCTTACAGACGAGTCTTCAATAAGTTCCTGCAGAGGTCGGAGGTCAAACATGGTTAGGATATTTAAGCTAATGGTACGAAGTTAAGGTTCTAACTCGGACTGCCGTGCTGCAGGTACGCCATCCTGACGAAGGAGTCCTGGCCTCAGTGGAGAGGTGATGAGCGTCAGGGAGTGCTGCACCTCCTCAACTCGGTCAATATGGACCAGGATCAGTTCCAGCTGGGGAAGACCAAAGTCTTCATCAAAGCTCCAGAGTCGGTAAGAAAAGCTCAGCAAGTGGTTTAACTGCAATCAGGAACACTGAGATTCAGCACGCCTGAGGTAGAACCTGGTACAGGGTGTCGGCGCTGTGGTCCGCTGTGACCCATGGTCATCTTGGCCTGTCAGGGCCTGGCTCCGTTTGTCATAATGGTGTCGCTTCCTCTCTCCAGCTCTTTCTGTTGGAGGAGATGAGGGAGAGGAAATATAACGGGTATGCTCGTGTCATCCAGAAGGCGTGGCGCAAACACGTTGCTGTTCGCAAATACGTCAAGATGAGGGAGGAAGGTAAGATTGTTTTTGATAGATGGGTTAAAAAAACTCTGAATCTGAGTTTGTTTTCAATAACTTTTAATTCGTGTTTCCTCTAGCCTCTGATGTTGTGCTGAACAAAAAAGAGCGCCGCAGAAACAGCATCAACAGGAACTTTGTGGGTGATTATATCGGGACCGATAACCATCCTGAGATCAGACAGTTTGTCGGCCGCAGAGAGAGAATTGATTTTGCTGACGTCGTGGTGAAATATGACCGCAGATTCAGGGTAGGAACCCAACCTAAAAGCAAAACCACAGGCCTAGATCTGGTTCTGTTCTCCTGTTTGAACACGTCCTCGGCTGGAGAGTGTTTACCATCATGTCTGATAGAGTCCCTGAATATTTCTTTCCTCTCTGAAAAGTTGCTTTTTCTGTTGTTCCACAGTCCGTGAAGAGAGACCTTATCCTGACACCAAAGGTCCTTTACATGATTGGTCGGGAGAAGGTGAAACACGGTCCAGATAAAGGTCAAATCCAGGAGGTTCTGAAGAGGAAGATTGAGATCAACAAAATCCAGTCTGTTTCTCTGAGGTATACCATCAGAACTGGGAAAAACTACAATTAGAACCAAAAAAAGACAGCAGAGCCAGATTAGTACTTTCCACTGGGTCAAAAAGTAGAACTGGAAATAGAAACATGAAGCTATTAGAAGATAGCAATTGTTGTATAGCATTCAAAATATTACTGCCTTTCTCTGACCTACCTTTCTGTTTGTTAGCACTCTTCAGGACGACTTCTTCATCATCCATGAAGAGGAGTACGACAGCGTTCTTCAGAGTGTCTTTAAAACTGAGTTTCTGAGTCTGCTGGTCAAACGTTATGAGGACAAAACGCAGAGGAAGTTGCCACTAAAATTCAATAACCTGTAAGTTTTAAACACGATCTGTCGTTCTCCAGCATACCTCATGCACTGTATTTAAAAGTGAAGCTAGCCGCCATGGCCTCACCCTTTGGCCACCCAAGTCTCCTGATGAGCATTTTCACTGTTGCCATTTTGGTGTTTTGAGACAAGCAAGGAGTCAAACTGCACAACCAATGAACGTAGTTCCTGCACTGAGAAACCAACACTTAAATCCAGGTTTAACAATGAGTCATCAGATCTGACCGGTACTAACCACACACTGCCTCTATCTCTACACTTCTCTCTCCGTTCAGCCTGGAGTTTAAGGTGAAGAAAGGTGGCTGGGGTCCGTTCAGCTCCTCAGGATCCAGACAGATCCAGTTCCAGGTGGGTCAGGGTTACGAGGCAGTCTTGAAGCCCAGCGGAAAGGTCCTGCAGGTCTCAATCGGACCGGGCCTGCCTAAAAGCTCCCGTAAGTTGTGACTTGACTTAGTCACCAGCGTAACCTCTTGTCCACTCGGCATTACTTCCTGTCTGTTTGTCGTCTAGGTCCCACCCGGAAAGACAACCGGAAGAGCCGCTACATGGGAAACCGTGCTCCACCCAGTAACCAGCAACACTCGGGTATCAGCAAAAACCAAGTTTCAGGTGTTTTCACGACTTCTTAGAAGACTCTTTTGACGTTTCTTATTCTCATCAGCATCTCGCTCCAGAGGGGGTGGAGCCCTGAAGGAGGGCAGCGCCTACTCCAGAGGCTCGTTGCTGAGACAGCAGTCTAGCATGGAGCAACCTACCCTGCCCCGCCTCCAGAACCAGCGTCGCCATGACAGTCGTCCCCATCAAAACCAGGATATGGGCTTTATGGATGTTCCCGATCAGGGTGCCGCAGGGTGAGACCGCTTGGAGTGACCCAGTGTTATGAAATAACTGTGGTCACCAGTATGACCAGTAAATGGACCATCCGTAAATGACTAGTAATCCCTGTTTCTCACCTGTAGGGTACACCGGCGCCGTTCAAAGGAGGTGAAGCCTCCTCCTGGAGCGGGTCGACCCAAACCGAAGCCCCGAACTCCTCACTGCAGAGCTCTGTACGCCTACGATGCCCAGGACACCGATGAGCTTAGCTTCAATGCTGAGGACATCATTGAGATAGTCACTGAAGGTAGTACTCATACCCCACCTTGTATTGATGTTACTAGATATCACACACCTTGTTAAACAACATTAAATGTAGTTGCACAGTAGTACTAAAACAAAGAGGGATTTTTTTCATCCAGAATCGTAGTTCCCACAAGGACCACGCACGGTCGCGTAGTTCCCACAAGGACCGCGCACGGTCGCGTAGTTCCCACAAGGACCGCGCACGGTCGCGTAGTTCCCACAAGGACCGCGCACGGTCGCGTAGTTCCCACAAGGACCGCGCACGGTCGCGTAGTTCCCACAAGGACCGCGCACGGTCGCGTAGTTCCCACAAGGACCGCGCAGTCGTAGTTCCCACAACGCGCCGCGCTAGTTCCCACAAGGACCGCGCACGGTCGCGTAGTTCCCACAAGGACCGCGCACGGTCGCGTAGTTCCCACAAGGACCGCGCACGGTCGCGTAGTTCCCACAAGGACCGCGCACGGTCGCGTAGTTCCCACAAGGACCGCGCACGGTCGCGTAGTTCCCACAAGGACCGCGCACGGTCGCGTAGTTCCCACAAGGACCGCGCACGGTCGCGTAGTTCCCACAAGGACCGCGCACGGTCGCGTTAGTTCCCACAAGGACCGCGCACGGTCGCGTAGTTCCCACAAGGACCGCGCACGGTCGCGTAGTTCCCACAAGGACCGCGCACGGTCGCGTAGTTCCCACAAGGACCGCGCACGGTCGCTTAGTTCCCACAAGGACCGCGCACGGTCGCTTAGTTCCCACAAGGACCGCGCACGGTCGCGTAGTTCTCTTGCTTACCTGAATGTTTGTCCTACGCATTCTTTTTCCATTTCCACAGATCCATCTGGTTGGTGGTTTGGTCGCTTGCGGGGCAGAGAGGGGATGTTCCCTGGAAACTATGTGGAGAAGATCTAGACCTTGATTCCAGGGGTCAGAGGTACCAACCTGCTGCTGCAGCTGGGGTCATAGGTCATAGGAGCTTTCAACACATTGGTTGAGAGTTAAAAGGAGGCTGACTGCTGAAGATGGCGTGCTAACAAACAGCTGCACTGTACCCAGAGGTGAAAGGTCAGGGTGTGGTGTGCCGACATGCTGACTCCTGGACTCCCGATGTCCCATTAACGCTGCATACAGGTTACATGTCCCCATAAAACTTCGTTTTCACAGTGTCCTCGTGTGACTTCAGTCTCTGATCATCTCAGGTGGAGCCCCGTATATCTGACAGTTTATTGGTGTCCTCATTCTGACACACTGCATGTGCTAGATTTTTAAATTCCAGTTCAAAGACCTTCCATCTTTCTGGTCTACAAGAGATGGAGCGAGAGGAGGGCAGCAGGAGGCTGCATCACGGCTTAGAGTTGATGGTTAACCAGTGTTGTACACAAATGTGAATAACTAGTTTAGCCAGGTAGTATTCATGAGGCCGGTCAGTGAGGACAGCAAGGTTTATTCATCTGAAGTCCATCCAGTGCCCCCTGCAGCCTGCAGTGTTTATTACAGCCCTGAAATAAAACAAAGTGAGCACAGTGGCAGATTTAAAGCCCTGTACAGTATTTGACATTAACAGAGCAGATGAACAGACCCTGAACGTCACACAGGAGCTTTGATATACAAATAAAGGTATTTTATTTGTCTCATCATTAAAACGGAAATATTTTTTTACCTGAAATAAACAGATGTAGATGATGAATGTTCAGCTGTGGTTTCTGTCGGGATCAATGTTTCAGCTGCAGCCTATCCTGAATCAGCAGCTTACCTGAGCTGATCAGCTCACCTGGTACACCTGTTTTCTTTCATTTTAACTTTTTTCTTTTTCTGATTTTTATAATTTGGATTTTTTCCTTAACGTAAACTTTAATTCATTTTTTTTAAAGTATCTGTGTATTGTTTTTTTTTTTTAAATTGCACAAAAACAGCAGGACACTACATTACCCAGAGTCCTTTTGACCAAGTGGGTTGTGCTGGTTTTAGGTACAGTTGGAAAATCCGTCCCATAGTGTCTCTGTTGTTTTACACCAAAAGGAAAAACTGTAGTGATAAATGTCAGAATAACTCTGAGACTGGAACGTCACACAGTAGGGTGAGTTGTAATAAATGAATAAATCTTGCAGCTTGTGCAGGTTAATGCTACTGTTTTGCATGTTTATTAAAAATGACTTTGTTAAATTTTAAATGTGACCATAAAGTGGTTCAATGCAACATTTCAGGTATTTATGTGAATCACAAATTTGCACAGCTTTGTCTTCCTGTCATGTCAGAGTGGAGGTAAACACACTTTTAAAATTGGTTTTGCAACTGAAGCAGTGTTCATTGTACAAATGTGTTTTCGAAGATTACCCTGTGCTCATTCTGATTAACCTGCTGCAGTGTTTTTGATCACACTCTGACATAGAAACTGAACATCTCATCTCAGTTTTACTTTAAGAATAGAACTGTTATCACCCCAACAGAGGTCGATTATCTTGTTAATAATTTCACCTCCTCACTATGTACGACTCTGGATACTGTAGCTCCTGTGAAAACTAAGGTCTCTAATCAGAAGTACTGACTCCGTGGTATAATTCTCAAACACGTAGCCTAAAGCAGATGACTCGTAATCTGGAGAGGAAATGGCGTGTCACAAATTTAGAGGATCATCATTTAGCCTGGAGAAATAGTTTGCTGCTTTATAAGAAAGCCCTCCGCAAAGCCAGAACATCTTACTATTCATCACTGATTGAAGAAAATAAGAACAGCCCCAGGTTTCTCTTCAGCTCTGTAGCCAGGCTGACAAACAGTCAGAGCTCTGTTGAGCCAACAATCCCTTTAACGTTCATGAACTTCTTCACACATAGAGTTATCCCTCTTCTTCATAATCCATCACAGTGTAAGCATGGATTACTAATAACCACCATCCCCTCCTTAAAAGAAATCAGGGTTCACCTGATGTCAAGCGTCTGCTGTCAGACTGAGTCGGGGACTCTTTAATATTATGCTCCTGCTGCAGCAACACCGCTGCAAGCTAAAGGTGCTGATTCACTCAGACTGAGCTCGAACATCAGTTCACTCTTGGAGAAATGGCTGTGTGGACATTAAAAACACATTTAAAGGAGAGAAGGAACAATCGACTGAATTGAATTGAATGATCTACTAACACCTTTACTGCCACCTAGTGGTAAAGCCTAGTATCTCTGTTTAAATGAAAGCAGACGATATTCGCTTCTCGACAGCAAAGAACATCTGTCAGTGAGCTCAGTGACAGCAGCTGTTTGTTGGTGTGTAATGAACAGTGATGAGAGCCTTGTTTGTGACAAATGCACAGACTGAACACTGAGAATCTGCGCCAATTCAAAGGTGTTTGGGATGTTATTGGCAGAGGACATTTTTGTTTTGTTTCATGATGAAAACACATTTTTCTGTGATGCTGGATATATTCTCTCAGCTGTGACCTGCTGAGGGGTCTCAAACTCGGGGCCCGGGGGCCACGTGCGGCTTACAAACATGCTGAGGGATCGTCTGTGTTTGCTCAGTGACAGAGTCAAACACTCATGTGCACACTTATGCATTAAATACGAACACAGTGCTGCCACATGTGTGCACAGACAGACAGGACCAGTGTGTTTATTTGGTAGATCAATGAAAGGCTTCAGTTAGTTAAGAGGGCAGAACAAACATTTGTCTTGTTATAAAATATTTCACATTTTAAAGAACAAACAAAACGTTTTAGGAAATATTTGTTGGCGATTGTTTGTTTGTTTTGCACTACTTGAACACTAAAGTGGCCCTCCAATGAGACGGCACACAGCATGCCCAGATTAACGCGGTCAGATTTGATTTTGTAATAGAAAATTTCTATTGTTCTCATTTAGAGTATTTATGTGCTGAGCTGTGACGCTGTAATAGACTGTTCAGTGAAAGTTTCTAAAACTAGATGAACTTATTCCAGCCTCAGCAGATGGAGAAGACAACTCCCTTTACAGGTGCTGATAACGCCAAAGGCACAAAACAGCACGCCCACTGTTCCCTTTCATAGCGTGATGTTTGTAACTTCCTCCCTCTTCCTTGGAGTGGGAGCACCACTCCTGTCTCAGAGCTCGCATGACTGAACTGTGATGTTTGATGTGTGTTGGCTCTCCTGCCTGCATGCAGAAATAAAACAGCTTGATCACAGTGACCATGTTGCAGGCCACTTTTTTTTTGACAGAAAACTCCACAACAATTTCAACACAATTAAAGTGTCTAGAACACAGACAGCAGTTAATGCCGAACTACATTTAAAACAGTCTGTTTCATTTTGACCTAAACCGTGTGCACAAAACTCTGCAGGGATGTCGACCCACAGTCAGCGCTTCTGCTGTTTGCTACGTCGGTTTGGTGGTTTTCAGGCTTCACGTAGCATCATTATGTCAACAATCTAAACATTGTTTTAGGTGTAATTGAGCCAAAACCTGACTGAATATTCACATACAAGCTGTTTTCCAAGGCTGTAGTGTTTGGCTGCAAACAACAGATTTCACCGAGCAGCGAGGCTAATGCCTTTCACGCCGCTTTGTCTCAACTCAAAAAACGCAATTCAATTTTATTTATATAGCACCAAAAGACAACAACAGTAATAGTAATATTTTTTTTAAAAATGAGGGGCGGAGTCTGAATTTATTTTATTAGTGTCATAGTCCGTTTAGGAGTTCAGAGGTCAAGAGTTCACGTTTCCATTGCAACGCCTCCAGATTTGATATAGAAACACTCGATTTTAACAGTATTATTTTACACCTCAGGCTTACATTTAAAGACCGTGACTCTACTGTGAGTCGTATTAAAGTACTAACACCAACATATTTAACGCTTTTGCTGTGCAGCAAAAGCGTGAGTCACAGTTAAGTTTGACAGCCCGGCTTTGAAGGCTGCAGTGAGAAAAATGAAACGTGAGTCCGGCTGTTTCCGGGATGCTGGCGCCGTTTCACCGCGTCTTTGAGTCGTTTGTCCTGTCAGGATACAAACACAGCAGCCTGAGGCAGCACGAGATGATATTTCCCAGCTTTAATCAGGTCATTGAAGGGCTCATAACCTTTCGGCATTCCGACCGTCACGCGCCCATGTTTACAGAAGTGTCATGCGCGTGCGTGAGGCTGCCGTAGGTGTCTGCAGAGCTGCCTGTCTCAAACAGGAACTTTGTTTCCGGTTGTCACGTGTTTTTGTTTATTTTTAGTTTTGTTGATAAACATTTAGTGACCATGAAAAACCAACAACTAAACAAACAAATAGATAAACAAGAACACATGACTGGATTGTCACAGCTGTTTACGTAAATAACACAATCGATGACTTTTATGGGGACGTCTGTTTCATGAAGCGTCTGTAGGACAATGCAGAACCACAAACAGCAGACACCTCTGTGACGGTGCCTCGCAGGAACCACCAAGCGCCCGCTCTGCACATCAGAGTGGGGGCCGGCTGAGGCTCCAGCAGAAGAGTGCGTCATCATTACTGGAGGCATGGAGTGGTGGAAGAAACAGGAAGCAGAATAATTAGAAGACAGAATAAAGTGGACGTCATACAGGTTTGAAATAATCTGGGTTTCTAACACGTTTCTGTGGAGACCTCGCATTTCGGGTTCACTCTTTCACTTCCTGTCTGAACCGTCATGCTGCGATAAAGACACAGATGAAGGACGGCAGCCGATGATGCATTGGTTTCATCACTGTGGGTGGAAATACAGGCCCGCTTCAGGGCCGCGGGCCATAGATTTCCCAGCACAGGGACCAACGAGCTTCAGCGCACGCTCTGCCCCACGCCTCCACAGTTTGAACCTTCATCACGATTACTGTGAAATTCTAGCTTCATACATCAAATACGTCACAAACACCTGCTGCAAGTGAGGGTCACTGAGACTGTTACCATGGTTACTGACACAGTTTTACCTGCTTTTTGGTCACTCCTAGTTAAGAAAAAGGCCTATTACAAGGCAAAAGTAAAAAAAAAGGCACGTAATCATCAGTAAGAAACTGGTCACGTGGTCCCTGCAAACGGGACGCGAAGTTTTAGTGTTTTGGTTCAAAGGCGATCCGTACACGGGTCCTGACAAGCCACGCCCACCGCACGTTTCTGTCTCGCGTACATTTATCAGGTGAAAGCGAGTCACAGACAGCCGACCGTTTGTTAGCAGCTAACAGCTAACGGAGCAGATGGAGGAGTTTCTGACGAGCTGCCAGCGGGCCGTGAAGGTAACACACACACGGGTTAGCCTGTTAGCTCGTGCTGCTGCAGAATGACTGGCACTGTTTACATCATGTGACAAGGTCCGAGCACTACGATAGTTTGCACGAGTCTGTGGAGCTGCACAAGTCAACGACCGGAAACGCAGCTGTGGGTGTGAGTGAGACAGTCAGCCGTGAGGTCAGGTGAGACACACCTGTCAGGATCACCACTGCTGCAGTTCTTCTGGTGTCCAGCAGAGGCAGCAGTAAGGAGGGGCATGTTTCTATAACTCGCCTGTTCTGTCCAAATTGAATGCAGTTTTATTAATACACTGATGTACTGTAAGGTAGACGCTACAATAATACAAAGAAAATGGAGAAAACCCCAACAATCATGTGACCCTCTGAGCAAGCGCTTTGGCGACAGTGGAGAGGAAAAACGCCCTTTTAACAGGAAGAAACCTACAGCAGACCCAGGCACGGGGAGGGGCGGGGCCATTTCAACACATTACTGCAG